TCAAGGCTAGCGCTCTACCACTTGAGCCACAGCGCCACTTCCGGCTTTTTTTCTTTTTGCTTATGTGGTGCTGAGGAATCAAACCCAGGGCCTCAAGCATGCAAGGCAAGTGCTCTACCACTGAGCCACTTTCCCAGCCCTTGTTTTTTTTTTCTGTGCTTGGAACTGAATCCAGAGTCTCATTCACGCTAGGTAAATGTTCTGCCAGCGAGCTGCACCCCAGATCCAAATGTTGTAGGGTTATGTATATGTATGCTGGTCCTGGTTCTAGAACTCAGGGCCTGGCACTGTCCCTGAGCTTTTTTTGCTCCAGGCCAGCACTCTACCATTTGAATCACAGCTCCACTTCCAGCTTTTTTTTTTAAATGGTTAATTGGAGGTAAAAGAGTCTCACACACTTTCCTATCTGCGCCGGCTTTGAACTTAGCTCTTTAGATTTGTCTCCTGAGTAGCTAGGATTACAAGCATAAGCTATCAGCACACAGTTCAAAGGATGTGTTTTAATAAAATAGAAGTTTCTCTTATTAGGTACTGTCCTCTACTATGCAATAACTTTTCTCCACTTGGTCTTAGCCAAAAGATGGAGAACTAATAGAACTCTTGTGCAACTGCAAAATCAGGAAAACACTATGCATCACATAAGAAATGTGGATCCATTTCAATATTTTTAATTATTATTATTATTATTTGTGGTGATTCTGGGTTTGAACTCAGGACTCCAGGATGCTTTAGAAGCTAAGCCATGCCCCTAAGTTCATTATTGCTTCAGGTATTGTTTGAAAAGCAATGTTTTTTGCTCAGTCTCAGGCTTTCATCTTCCTACCTATGGCCTATACAGTAGTGGTGCACCACCTTGCTAAATTTTTGCCAGGGCTGGCCTCCCACGTTGATCCTTCCAATCTCTACCTCGTAGTTGGGATTACAGATGTGCAATATTGTCCGTGGCTCCATGTCTATTTTTTGAATGAATAAAACTGTTCATGCATAGATAGTCAAAAACATATGAATATACTCCTGTTTTGGCAGACTACCAGGATAATTTTTCTTGTATTGCTCCCATAGCGCCTAATAATTTACAACGCCTATTCATGTAAATAGTTCTTAAAAAAATAATTTCTTAAGCCCGGTGCCGGTGGCTCACGCCTGTTTTCCTAGCTACTCAGGAGGCTGAGATCTGAGGGTTGCAGTTCCAAGCCAGCCCGAGCAGGAAAGGCCTTGAGACTCTTATCTCCCCCAATTAACCACTAAAAAACCGGAAGTGGCGGTGTGGGTAAAGTGGTAGAGCGCTCGCCTACAGCTGAAGAGCGCAGGGACAGCGCTCGGGCCCCACGACCGTCACAATAATAATAATAATAAAGTTCTACTGATCTCCAACGCGGTTCCAGATTATGAATAAAGCAGATACACAGAAAATGGTGAACGCTAAACGTGGGTTCCCATTCCCAAGCTGTCTCCCCTGGGGACTCAGGGTTCAACCACCCCAGAGGAGGCGCTGCCGCTGGCGGGCTTTTCGGAAGCCTGGGATGAGATCCGTACGTGCTCCCATTAGGTCCCCGGGATCCGCCAACTCAAATGGATAGGGCAAACTGCTCGGCGTCGGCAGTCTTCCCAGATACTCACTCTTGGTGAAGACTGCAGCATTTACAGCGTGCAGCGGGCCAAAGGTCCAGCCTCGATTTCCCACCGAGGGGAAAGGCGAGCAGAGGTCAGACCACGACGTGCTACCCTCGAGTCAGTCCGTGTGGCAGCAGCGCGCGCGCGGCCCTCGGTTCCGAGGGCGAGCACCTCAGTTCCGGCCCAGTCCCGCCCATTCACCGAGGACTGAGGGGAGGGTGCGCAGGCGCGCCACGTGGCCCCGCCCCCCGGAAGCGCTCTAGGCGGCCCCAAGTTTACTTCGGGTAGGGGTGGAGGCGAATTCTCGATTTGTGGAAAGGATGGCAAAGTCCGGGCCGGGGCAGGATCCAGACATGACAGCAGCAGCCACAATGCTCAAGCGGGCAACGGAACTGGACTCGGAGTCTAAGTTCCAGCAGGCGCTGGTGTGCTACCAGGAGGGGCTCGACCTGCTCTTGCGGGTTATGAAAGGTGAGTGGGGAGTCCTGGAGGAAGGGGAGGACCCGAGGGAGGACCTGCTTTCCTAGGCGGCTGAGGGGAAATGAAACTTAAGAACCCTTCTTCCAAACTCCGGAGCGGAAGACGAAGTTACACTCCTGGGTAGCAGATTCATTGATTACTCCAGGAAAGGAAGGGATACCACTCTAGATTTTAAGAGCTTTAAAAGATATAGCCCAGCAGCCGGGCGCCGGAGGCTCACGCCTGATATATATGTATCAGTGATGAGATACACTGACATCATGTATCCCTAAAACATCATGTCACTTCTGTGATTTTAGTGCTTCAAAGGCACAGCCACATGAGAAAACATCAGATCAGCCAAAGTAAGAAACATTTTATGACACATAATAATCTTCCATCAGCAAGGTTATAAAAGATTAAAAACTGAGGAACTACAGTAGATAGAGATTAAAGATAAGTAACAAGTAAATGTACAGTGGCATCCTGGACCAGAGAAACCTTCCTGAGAGGAAAAAAACAGTGAAATTCAAATGTTTTTAAAAATTAGAGATTAGGCCAGGTGCTGGTAGCTCACACCTTCAGGAGGCTGAGACCTGAAGATCAGCAAAGTCCAATAAATTACTCAGAAAACGTAGGAAGTGGCACTGTGGCTCAAGTGGTAGAGCACTAGCCTTGAGAACAAAGAGGCTCAGGGACAGAGCCCAGGCCCAGAACAGAGAGAGAGAGAGAGAGAGGATTAAAGATGAAATTATTACAGAAAATATAAATAATGTAAAAAGAAGAAAAGGAGAACCAGAAATGATATTGTGGATGCATAGTAACATTTAATAGATAATGAATATTGAGGAATAACTTCTAGATGCTTATGGCTGACACATGTAGTCCAGCTACTAAAGTGACTGAGGTCTGACTGAGGATTGCAGTTCGAAACTAGCCAAGGCAGGGAAGTTCATAAGCCTCTTATCTCCACTTAACCACCCAAAACCTGGAAGTGAAGCTGTAGCTGTGGTAGAGTGCTAGCCTTGAGCAAAAAAGTTCAGGGACAGTGCCCAGACACCGAGTTCAAGCCCTAGGACGAATACATCTGCTGGCTGGAATTGAGCATTAATTACAATGGGAGTATCTGCAGGAGAAGCTGGTTTTATGGAAGACTGCTACTCTTTGCTGTCTTCTAAATATACAAAATTAGAATTAGGGTAAAGTAGTACTCAGACTTAAGGTTGACCTATAGTAAGCCACCTTTCTCATTTCTCACACTGCCAGATTTGGTATCCCAGAGTTGACAAGGTATTAGAACCTCATTCCTAAACCCAGCTATCCAGTCACAGTGACCTTTATATTTGTAGTTTTTAGGACTGAAGCAAAGCATTCTGAAGGATAGGACATTTGTAGAAAACTTGAAAAAATGGAAATAATGCCTGAATTAAACTGAAAAAAATGTTAACTTGAATTTTTTAATTTATAGGTATTAAAGATAATAATAAGAAATGTAATCTCAAAGCAAAGTTTTCTCACTACATGGATAGAGCAGAAAATATAAAGAAATACTTGGACCAAGAAAAAGAAGGTAAAAGGGCTGTTTTAGAAAATGTATCCAGGCCTGGGGATATAGTTCAAAAGCTAAGTAGTTGGCCTAGAATGTTTTACCAGGGATGGAGAACCTTTTCGTTGCCAAGGGCCGTTTAGATATAACATCATTCATGGACCATACAAAATTACCAACTTAAAAATTAATCTGCTATATTTAGTCCAATATTTAATTACTTCAACCCAAATGAGACAAGTAGAACTGCTTATTTTTGATGAGGTATATGGTGTTAATGTGTATTGATGTTTATTCCTGGGTTCACTCCCAGTACCACAAAAGAAAAGGGGGGGGGGATGGTGGGGTAGAAAGAAAATGTGTTCATATGGTATCATTCATTATTGCTGGCTTCTGTCTAGTTCTATATGGAGTAGACCATTTGAACCTGGGGGCTTTCCAATTTACTATACATTTCTTCTCCTCTAGTCCCTTTATTTTTTAAGTGAATGTAGGGTAGAGTCAAAACCCCTTCGAACATTTGATAAATGCTATGCATTATGTAGAACTTTGGCATTTTTAAAGAATTTGCAGATCCCATGAAGCTTATGTGTGAACCCCAGATAAGAACTGCTAGAAGAATACTGAATGTGGAATCCTGTCTTTGATTTTTAATTCCTTAATAAAAGGAACAAGGTCATTACAGTAGCTAAAGAAACTCCTGAGACTTCTATCAGATTTTGTTGTGAATCAGAGCCTATTCCTAGCCATTAGAGGTGAGGTAGGTATTTTTCCCTATGTATTAGTATTTCCCTACTCAAAAAGCATGCAGTTTCATAGATATCTGTATGTGGGCATTGCCATCCTCACACTCCTGCTTTCTACAACCAAAGATACTGTTGCTAGCCTTGGGTGTTTTTCCCCTAGTCACTGATGTGCACAATGAAACAAACCCCTTTGAACAATTAATGTATGCTTATAGATTAATAAGAAAATTAATTTGGCTGGCTTGGCTTTAAAAGTTGATGCATAGTTGGTAACATCTCTGTGGAAATGCTCTGAACAGAACATGTGTGTTTCCCTTTTTTAGTGGTCATGGGGATTGAACTGAGGGCTTCATGTGTGCTAGCTAAATGCTCCATTACTGAGCTACATTATCAGCTGAGCTTTATTTTTTTTTAATTACTCAGAAAGCTTTCTTTTTTTTTTGGTGGGGGGGTCCGGTCATGGGCTTGAACTCTGGGCCTGGGCGCTGTCCCTCAGCTCTTCAGCTCAAGGCTAGTAAGCTACCACTTGAGCCACAGTGCCACTTTCAGCTTTTTTCTTTTTGCTTATGTGGTGCTGAGGAATCGAACCCAGGGCCTCAGGCATGCAAGGCAAGCACTCTACCACTGAGCCACCTTCCCAGCCCAGAAAGCTTTCTTTTGTTTTTCCCTGTCAGTCATAGGTCTTGAACTCCAGGCCCGGATGTTGTCCCTGAGCTCTTGCTCAAGGCTAGCATTCAACTACTTTGAGCCACAGCACCATTGCCAATGTTCTGGTTGTTAATTGGACTTCCTCATATCTCAGCCTCTTGAGCGGCTAGGATTATAGGTGTGAATCACCGGCACCCAGCCATTTTTAAATATGTAGCTTTCTGATAGTGCTTGTGCTCTCATCACTTGCATAATTGTTTTCACCTTGTTAAGAAAAATACTTGCTTTTGGCAGACATATTTAGCACACAAGGAACTAACTGGGCCTGCTGGCATGTTTTTTTGTTTCAGACAACCTTATAAAACAGAAGGGTTGGAGACCTGGCTCACCTAGCAGTGCCAGATGAGTAAACAAAGCTGAGAAAGCTGCACACAGTTGTTTCTAAAGCTTTATTTTAGTTGGACACCATTGACTTATACCTGTAATCATAAAGAGGCTAAAACCTGGAGGATTGCAGTTCAAAGACAGTGTATGTAGGCTTTCAAGATTCCATTTCTAACCAGCAAAGTGCTATATTGGAGGTGTGGCTCAAGTGTCCTGAGCAAGCAAGCCAACCAAGGACAAGGCCCTGAGTTCAAGCCCTGGTACAGTACATACACAGACACACACACACAAATTGTTTAGTTTTCATAGCATAAGCCTTTCCAAGACTTGACTAAGCACAAACCACATGCAGATTCTTGATGTTATTCCAGCTTTCTTGGTGAAAAAGTAAACAGTAGCCTAGTTTTATTAGAAGCTGAATTGTAGGAGTGCCCATTATGGTACAGCAAACCGTGAACCATTCTAGGTGCCTGTAAATATTATCTGGTAAAGCAGAAACAGTCCACTAGAGGTCATATTTTTTAAAAACCAAAAAGGGGTTTGAAAATTTATTCAGCTATTCATTTTGAATTTACAAAACTAGTAGAACTATCCTGTTGATCATGTGACAATCCCCTTGTTAGCTTGGGAGAAATAGTAATGCAAATTTCTGCAGAGTGCTCTATAACAAACTTAGCATGTTACAAGCCCCGAGTTTAGTCCCTAACACGAAAACCAAAGAATTAAAACAAAACAAAACAAAAAAAACCCTGAAATAAATTAAGTATTAATAAGAAAGACTTCCTAACTGTTATGTTGTGTTTTTGTTTAATAGTTTATCTGTTAAACTGCAGGTATAAAAAGACAAGTATAAAGAGAAGGACCAGATTCCCTGATTATATCTGTGGTTTTTTCCATAGTAAAAGGAACTTACCAGATACTTTTTGCACACACAGTCTTCTCTTGAATAAACTACCTGGTCTTGCTGTATATTGCTACTCAGGAGGCTGAGATCTGAGGATCACGGTTCAGAGCCAGCCAGGGCAGGAAAGTCCATGAGACTCGTATCTCCAATTAACCAGAAGTAAGTTGTGGCTCAAAGTGGCAGAGTGCTAGCCTTGAGCAAAAAAGCCCAGGGACAGAATCCAAGTCCTGAAGTTAAGCCTCACTACGGACAAAAAACAAACAAAACAACAACAACAAAAACAACTGCCTGGTCTGAAGGGTCCAGGTCACGATCTGTTCCAGAAAATCTTGCCTATCCCCCTTACCCTGCCAAGGCAAAGACCACCCATGGAGTACTTTTGGCCTTCTTCTATATGTGTAGCATTTTGCAATACTGCATAACACATTTAGAGCAGGCACTTAATACATAATGAGTGAATAAGCTAAAAATTAATTTGTAACTGATCCTGATTAATCACTGTATAAGAAATATAAAATGTATAAAAAGAAAGTGGACACTAGTATTACTGAAAACTGTTTTGTAGATGGGAAATATCACAAGCAAATTAAAATAGAAGAGAATGCAACAGGTTTCAGTTATGAGTCACTTTTAAAAGAATACCTTAATGAGACAATTACAGAAGTGTGGATAGAAGATCCTTATATTAGACAAACTCATCAGGTAAGTGAGATGTATTAAAATGTAATGAAATTGAATTTTAAATGTATAGTCGGCTGTCCATATCAGCAGATTCTTTATCCATAGACTCAACTGGGGATCCAAAGTATTTTTTTAAGTTAAACCTATATGAACATTTACAGACCTTTCTTGTCAGTATTCCCTATACAACACAGTATAATAGCTAGCTATTTGTACAGCATTTACATCATTTTAGATATTGTAAGTAATCCAGAGGTGATTTAAGAGGAGAATATATTCAAGGTCTATGCTGAATAATGTTATATCATCTTTGGATAAGCATCTGTGGTGGGAAGTTGGACCCAATGCCCCATGGGCACAGAGGATGACCCTGCCAGTTAGTAATACCTCATCCTAATGTCTTTCAGCTCTATAACTTCCTTCGATTTTGTGAGATGCTTATTAAGAGTTGCAAAGTAAAAACTATTCACCTTCTTACCTCTCTGGATGCAGTAAGTATCTAAAAGAATTGATCTTTTTTGTAATTTACTGACTTTATTCAGTTAAAAGATGTAGTAGTCCAATCAAGGAAAACCTGAATGAGGTACTTCAGCTAGATTTATTTCTTTGAGGATAAACTTATCAGCTATAATAAGTGTAGTACATCTTGAGAAAGATGTTGACCTTGTATTTGGCCATTTTGTTAGGCTCAATTTGTTTAAGTAGTTAGTTTAGTCTCCTGGATACTGTTGGTCATTTTATCTCTTTACCCTTTATATCTGTGATTAATAACATGATAGTAGGTATCTCTGTCTTGATTTGGACAAAAATTAGTAATCCTTCTAAATAATAGTTTCCATGATTAATTTGAGAAGTAGGCAGCCCCACTAGGATTAGTAAACATCATTGCTAAAATGCATTTAAGGAAGCTGAGCATGGAGGTATATGTCTGTAATCCCAACACTCCAGAGGCAAGGCACAAGGATTATCATTTTAAGGCCAACTTAGGCCACATAGTAAGAGATCCTGTCTCAAAATGTAATGAGATAAAATAAACAGTTAAGAAGACAGGATGAAATTGTTATGTTCATATTAAAACATTCTTCATTTGCTTGAAATAATAGACACTGAAGCTAGAAAGTAACTTTTAATTTTAATCCATTTGTGATACTTGTTCATTAAATTTATTTTGCTTTAATTTTTTTAACAAGGTTTCACTTTTTGCCTGGGCCTGCTTGTACTGCAACCCCACTATTCATTGCTACTTGCCATATCTGGGATGACAGGTGCATGCCACTACGTCTAGCCTTTGCTACTAAGATGGTCTCACAAACTTTTATTTTATTTTATTTTTTGGTCGTGAGGCTTGAACTCCGGGCTTGGACACTGTCCCTGAGCTCTTCAGCTCAACGCGAGCACTCTATCGCTTGAGCCACAGCGCTACTTCCAGTTTTCGAGTGGTTTATTGGAGATAAAAGTCTCATGGACTTTCCTGCCCAGGCTGGCTTTGAACCGTGATCCTCAGATCTCAGCCTCCTGAGTAGCTAGGATTACAGGT